ATCAACCCCTTTGAAGTTGTATCTAACACCTCTCTTTAAAAGAAGGAATATTTGTGTCACAGTATTTTCAGCCTTGAGTTTTTGCTAACATCTCAATATGAAAATTCATATTATGTTACTACATATTATGTTACCTGTACAAGTTATCTTCAATTTAACTTACAATCATTGAAATACGACCATCCTACAGCCTGCAAAGTATGAATCCATGCAATACATCTTATTAAGTAAATAAGATTTTCAGCCTTGGATGGCTGCAAAGGTTGCATCCTGCACAAGGCTGCCTTGAAAAAGGCTTGTTCTTTGTTGAGAAAGCCTAAGTGAAGGCAGTTTTGTCCATTCCATACCAGGTTACTGGTGGTCCTGTTGACTAACTATAACATGGTTTTTATATCAATATTATATAAACTTACTGTTTTAGTCTATGTTCACTTTAGGGCTATGATATCAAGGAAGCACTTCAGCTGTCTCAGCCTCAGCTACACTTTAGCATACTAATGAATTATCTTATTGAACAACTTTAAATCCTGTCATTTTAAATCTTGAAGTAAGTAATATGAGACCCTAAATAAATAAGCAGATGGCAAATGTAAATTCAGTCTACTATGAAGGAATGTACCATAAAGCTAGTCACATGCACTGTTCTGCTGCTCAATACCTACAGTGTTGTAAGAGGAAGTGTAATTTAGACTTATCAAATCTGAAACATGCAGGTACTATTCAACATGAAGGAAATTTATAGGCTGAAACTTGAAAATAAACTTAACTGGTAGCAGAAACAAACATAAGACAGCTAAATCACTCTAGGCAAAGTAAAGATCATATCACACTTCTATCAATTTAATTCTGTTTTTAAGAGAAAGGAAAGAATCAAAAGATGCTGACTGAACATCACTTTCTCTAGAGATGTAGTACAATATTTTCTTGTAAAGAAAGGAATAACCTTCAGATAAACATTTCATTTAGAGACAGAAATCTTGTCACGTAGTTCTAAAAAATACAGAATAATACACATGTCTACCCTAATGGAAAAAAATAAAACTAAAAAGCAGAGGCTTTTATGCTAGCTTGGAATTTTAAATAAATAAGTCTTGCTCTATTTTAACAGAGAAACACCACCAACAATGTAACCTAGGAATGCACTGAATAAAATAAGCGCTTTACTGAAAATCTGAAAATATCACAGCCTGTGAATGCTAAAGCTTGAATAAGAAATACACACATAGGAAACAGCAGGTTGTGTCAGGCACCAACAATCTGCATTATTGCTAATATGCTAAATGTCAATGCCCATGTTCAGATCATGCTATCGTGCAGCATAACCTTTGGAATTTCGCAGGATTGGTCAAACACATAAAGCTAAAGCAAAACACCAAGAATATATGTGCTCTGCGGTAGCAAGTGAGGAAAAGATCTGCAACTTTATGAATAAATTCTAGCACCATAAATAACTAATGAAGGAAGTAAAATAAGCCAACAGAAACAACGTAAAAGGTTGTTTTACGTTCACCACCAGGTCACTTCCATACAGATCTTATCCTTTTCTAATCTTTCATTTTCTCCTGCTGTTTAGAAACTTCCAAAAATTTAATCTCTCTTAATTATCCTTCTTTAAAATTCAAAATCTAATCATTTCGTACTTTCTTTCAGATGTAAAAAATCCAAGGGAAAGAGAAAATGGGGAACAAGGTGATAATCAGCAATCTGCTGCTCTCCAGAGATATTAGAGCATGCTTATTCGTGAAAAAAGCTGCAATGAATATATATTATTCATGTAATTGTGCCCAACATATGATGTTAGCTAATGTTTGATGATTGAAAAGTAAGAGGGACACAAATATTTGAAAGGGAAAAAAATACTCTATGTCAATAACCAAGAGGCATTATTGCTTCCAAACTGTCCAGCCTATAGTACCCCTCAATCAACACTGTTGTGAAATTAAAGAATCCACTTGTAGCAGCTACATGCCTTAGGTGGGGGTGAGGAGTGAGGAACTCAGATTTAGAAAAATATACATAGCTATTGTTCAATGGTAGTTATTGTAAGTTGCTATTTTTCAATATACATACTTAGGATTATTAAAGTACTGGGTTCTGAGGAATTTGTGTGCTTTCATCTACTTCTTTCTTAGAATCTATACTGGCCTGTGTACAACTGGGTTACTAAAGCCCTACAAAATCATAAAATATTTTTAATAAAGTAAGAGTAGCTAATATATTTGTATGTGAGTCATTAACATATGCTGGTACTAAACATAAGCAGCCTGCATTCAGATGATACTCTCAATGACTATACTTTATTGCTCTCCTTATGCTATACAAAAACTCAATTATGTAAATTTCCTCAAATAATGTCAAAATTTGATTGACCCTATTATATACCATATGCTGGAATGCAGTTATTAGTGAAGAGGATAGAATCACAAACTGTGATTCTAGATTTGAATGCCATCTCCAAACTCTACTTGCTGGGTGATCTTGGGGAAATTATCTAACTTCTCTGGACCTTGGTTTCTTTATTTAAAAAATAAGGATATGACTACCTACTTAAGAGATTTGTAGGAGGATTAAATGCATATGCAGAATGAAGGCACAATGTAAGTATTAGCTAATACAATTATTTCTAAGGTATGCAACTGGTCTAGGTTACTATGATTATGACTTGTGTTTGTATCCACATGCACAAAACATATATTCACAGGTGTGAAAACATGCATATATGGACCACATATAGTCATTTCATCTTTTAACTAGCCAAAAGAAAAGAAAGCTTCAGATTTGCTGTGGTCGTTATAATTTAAAATGCCATATGTTTAGTCAATTCTCAAATTCTGTCTTAAAAAATTCAGAAATTAGAGGAAATTTGAGCAAAATTCTGCAAGGATAGCTTTTCTTCTAAATGAATTTTAATATGAGTTTGATTATTAATCAAAGTTTAGCATATCTGCTATATATTGACCCATGTTCTCTTGGCTATTAATTGGCTACTTGGTTATAAAATAAATTTTTAAGAAATGAATAAATTCCTCTTTCAGGACATTAAGAAATATATAGTAAAGGTTTCTTAAGCCAAGCCTTAGCTCCTATGCAAGCCAGTAACAAGTTTCATGAATACATGCTCTACAACAAAACACCTTTAACTCAAAGTTGTGTAACAATGTAATGAGTATAAAAAAAATTATTCAAGTCATATAACATCAAAACAAAGTAAAAAATAATGACATAAGGAAGCAGAGACTTGAATCTTTATCTTTCCCTTCGTATACAGGAAGATTCGTATACAGGAAGATTGCCTGGTGTGCACATTTTCCAACTCACTGCACTTCAGAATTATGAGTTTCATTTATGAGCTCATTTGTGTTTCTTAAATGTCACAGCTACAAGTGTCCAGTTTTGTATCCTTTGTTCTGTCCTGGTGAGTATTTTATTACCTGCATCCTATTTGCTGCCTGAATGAGTCTTTACCCAGACTCCCCTATCTACTCCAACCTTTATTTTACCAATTAATAGGGAGCTCAATACTGACTGTCGTTTTGTTCTTCAGCATCTAAAAATTCTTCACAAAAGCTAGGATATAAATGGCAAGCTGAGATTATTTAACCTATTCTGGATGAAATACTGTTATTACTTTAAATACAATGCCAAAAAATGGAAATAGTGCAATTTCAATAATTAATACAGAATGGAAAGGTAATAGAATTTAGTATAAAAGCATTACATTTTTTTTTACATTTCCTCATTTGAAGTAGAAGAGAAAGCTGGTAGAGACAGTCCAAGCCTAGAAGATGGACATGAACTTTAAGAATCTTTCAGGAACTGATAGAGCTGGTTTTTAAAATGAACTTTTATTTAAAAAACAAAATTTGTTTTTCTAATTTAGATAGACAAATAATTCTGTATGATATGATATGATATGATATATATTTATGCATCCTTGAATGATACTCTCTTCTTGATCTTATAAGGATCAACAGGGTGTAGGGGCATAAAAGATCAAAGTGAAAGTGCAAGCGGAAAACAGTTAACCAAGGGCAAACCATGAATGTGAGGTTAAGTGTAAGAACCTTCCCATTTATTGGAACAATTATTAGTAGAATCATAAGGCTGTAGCCCCTTCTAACCAGAGCATCTCCTCAATTTCTCATCCCAAACTAGCATTTGCTAGTTTGGGCCCAGTAGCTAATGTTTATGATTATTATTCTGGCCTAGACATTTGTTATTGTATGTTTTCAATGTATCACCTCAGTTATTTCAGACCAATCTCATGTCCAAGGCACTATCATTTTGCACAATCTCTGGAGAAAGAATTTGAGATTCAGAGAGGCAAAGCGGCTTGCTTAGATTCACAGAGTTAGGAACAAGGACTGAAATTAAGGCAGGCCAGCACCCAGAGCCCATCCTCAGAACCTACCTCACACCACTATCTCAGGACAAAGCCGAACAGGTCAAGGCCATAGGCCCAGACAGCTTATGTAGTATTAGGATGATATCACCCCGCATCAAATAATGCTCACTGCTGGATATTCTAGATAAAGGTAAGCTACACATACTATTTTTCATATTTGTAACTTAATGTATCTCAATATAAGGAAGAAATTATCATTTATTTTTTACACCAACACCAGATAAACACAGTGAGATCATAAATACAGAAAATATAATATACATTTGACAATATAAATATTTTCAAATTATGCAATGCACTTACAAACCCAGCAGATTTACTTGGTCATACACACCCACAAAATAAATTTCATACAAATTTTAATGTATTTCCAAGCATACGTTTCTTCTATTTTGCAACAAAATTCGTAGCTAGACCTCACCTATATTTTAGGATAGGTAAAAATTATTATGTTAAACAGTGTAGAAGTGGCCAAAATCAGGGTATCTCTGCTGCTTTCTGATTGCCAGGTTCTTGTTTATTTTATTTAATCAGCAGGACACTCATTAGTTTAAGTAGGCAGAACCAAAGGGCGAGAACAAACGGCAGCTCTTACCTGCTTCAGCGCCTTTTTGGTGTGCTGCTGAAAGGAAGACACTAACTTGCTTTGCACTGCTGTGTTAGTAAGGCTTGAATCTCGAGTGGAAGATGCTTCATCAGTTACCTGCTTCGTACAAACTAGAAACGGAGAGAGATAATGATATTACTAATTTGAATTCCTTTTTTTATATCCACTGTAATTAACTCACTTGGAGCTTTTCTCCAGTTGAAAATGGATACTTAAAATAAAGCAAACTAGCACAATAAAAGGAAGACTATCTGAATTTGAAGAGAAGAGATCATTTAATAACTGTGCAGCCACAGTTCCATTTAACTCTATAGGGCTCTGTGTTTCCATACCCGCTAATTGACGATAATTTCTATGTCATAGAGCTATTGTATTGGCACAAAAAATAGCACAGTAACTGCTTCAAGAGTTGGCAATCACCAAACGTCTGAATCAGACTATGGAGATTAGGAAGTACATAGTATTTTAAAGAAACTATCGAAATGAATGAAGCTGTCCCCAATTCATCTGATTCACAGACATTATGGCTCCTCTATTAAAGGACCTTCTCTCTATGGGATATATAGCCTGCAGGGATATGCTTCTCTTCTCCGGTGGGATAAGACACATGGCATGGAGAAAAGAAAATGTGAGATGCTTATTGTCAACTCAAGACAATTACATTATTTTCAAGAAATGACGTTCTTTTCTCACTGCAGTATAATCTGTACAGTTTTACAGAGTCAGTCTTTCCCTTGGCTTATTCTACAGCAGACATGTTCTTCCAGAAGACTGCTTTGTATGAGAACTGATGTCTCACTGACACAGGACAGGGCACCCACAGAGACTTCCTGCTCTGTGAAACCCATGTGGGAGCTAGCACTCTTGCTCCAGTCCCCTTCCACCTTGGAAACTAGTTTTAATGCTGCAGGGATCTTGGCAGGAGCACAGAGGCAGGTCCTTCTCTGTGTACACAGGGGAGAAGTTATTTGGGGAATCAAAGTTCCAATGTATTATGCTTAGTGGCAAAGCAGAGGCATATGTCAAAGGCAGGAGGTAAGAGGAAGTTAGATGAAAGAAAATATCTTCAGAACATATTGCAAAATCTCACAACATGACTTTTTAAGGGCAATGGGGTAAATGCTATGTGAAGAAAATTTTCCAAGTAATGGTAACTTGAAGAAATCCTGACCAGCACTTTAAAGATAAATGCAGAAGTAAAATTATTGTAGTTATCAATCTTTAGCACAAAATAATAATTATTATCACTAATAGCTGTAGTTAAGAAATGGAAGCATATGCAAATACACAGTGTCAAAGACACTGAAATTGCTTCTGACAGATACAAGCGCATCTTGCCTAGAAATGAACATGTGGTTCATGAGAAGGAAATTGTGGAGGAGGAATTAATCTGATTTTGTTTTAATACAGAAGGTAATCAGAAAGTCAAATGAACAAATTGAGGGAAATAACTGTTAACTATTAATCTAGGCACTTTACATGTATTTCATTGAGTCCTTGCAGTTGGGGTTTTTCTTTATATATATATATAAAACAAAAAGGTCCTATCTTTGTATTGGATACAGAGAGTGAGATAACAGAAAGACTGAAAACATAATCCACAGTGACACAGGCAATGAAACAGCAGAGCTGTGAGCTAAGGTCAGCCCAGTCTAATTCTAGAGCTCATAATTTTTCCACTTAAAATATTTAATCTTGAAAGTCAGGATCAGGTAGAGAAAATTCCACTTCTACAGAAGTGTAATTTAGTTGCTTTATGGTGGAGGCACTAAAACAGGAAGTTAATAAGGTCAAGCAGAAACAAGGCATTCAACCTCTGACATGAAAGAAATTATGAAATATAGGTTAGAGTGATAGGCTCAGGAAATAGTATGGCTAAAAGAATTTACACACATATTTATATAGTGACAGAAGTCCTTGAATTAAAGATTAGGTGACTTTTTCCATGTGATACAGTATGACATTTTTCATTGAGATAGTTTAAATGTTCAAGACAAGAAATATTTTATAAGATACCTTGTATAAACTATGGTTCTCAGGCTTCACTCTCTGACACCATCACTAGAGTAATTCATAACACTTAGCCCCACCATACTTTCCAAGACTATTAGAATGTTTTTTTAATGTTGTAAAGTCTCTAAAAAGTGTTCTAAACAAAGGAGGTGACAGAAAGTTGGCAGACAAGAAAAACAATCCCAATTGAACGGACAGAAATGGATATAACATAAATCCAGCAAAAAGTCAAACACGTAATAATAAATTAAATTTTCTTTTTAATTTTACTTAAAAATTACTTTTTAAAACAAATTATTTTTTAATTCACAGTGGCATTTCCATCTAGAAAACTGAAAACTTACTGGCTGGTTAAAAAGGAGAACCAAAGGCAGCCTGTGGATATGAGGGAATTTATGGAAAATACATAAGCATGCTCCTGTGTATTGGACATCCAAATTCAAATGCACTACCCATCTGCTTGGGAAGGGCTTTTCTTCATACATCTTTCAAAGGTGAGCTTCTGTACAGCAGGATCAAATAATAATTTCTGAGTACATAACTAAGCCTCTGTTTCCCTCCTATTTTCTGACAGCTCCGATAGGTAGTGCACAATCCACTGTCCTTCCTAAGCGTAACAACCAGCTAGCTCACCATGTGCTCCATTTGTTTCTGACCTACAAAACCATCCGATAATTGGGAAATGTGCTGGTCTCATGGTTTAAATTTATTATTGGAATGTGTTCACTGTAATTCACATACATCTATATAGGTAGTTCCCAAAAGAAAAAAAATCTGTTCAATTTAGAGTGCAGAATTTCAGAGGGAGGGCAGGACTACACAGTTGGGATACCACTAGGTAACACTATAAACTTAGCTGTCAATGTAATCTATCTTCCTTCATCCAGCTCTCTGTTTGATCTTACAGCCCCTTCCAAATCCAGTAAAGGACCATGAGTATTCATGTACTAGGCGACATTTTCCTCCCGACCCCTCCTAGAACTTGGTCCTGAGATATTTCTATGGGTTCGACCATTTTTCCCTAATTATTGATTCTGATAAAATAAGTATGGAACTTCAAAGAAAATCAAAATTTTTTAGGAAACAAACTCTGTAGGTGATTGCTCCTTTGGACTAAAAGTTTATTTTTAGTGAAAATTTTTAAGAAATAAAACTGCAGGTTGTGTGTACACGCAGTTCATCCACAAGCTCCAAGAAGCACACCCACATGTACATATATTATCATAAGCACTGACAAATATGGACCTTTAACACGAACATATGAGCTTCTTTGTTTTTTGCTATATATATATGACATAGGGATGGCTAAATCAAAACATACTCATTCACTGAGTAATTCAATTATACAGGTTCATGCAGATTTGTACCCTGAGGAAACAAGATTTCTACCTTGTTTGTTTTTGCAACTTTCTTAATAATAGATATAATAAATAATCAAGAGTACTTTCAAAACAACTGCTTGACTATTCAGTTAAAGAAGTAAGTCTAGCCTCTGAAATACAAGCCAGAAAAAAAAATTGATGCTCAAGGAAATCCCCTATAAGTAAAATTACAACAGGAGCCAGGAAACTGAAGAATTAGGACAGATGTTTTATCCAATAAATATCATATAGTGACATGCAGCTTAGAAACAGATATTTCTTTAGCATTCTGGACAGAATGGAAGCTATTTTTTAACTGTGTACTGGCATGATCACAAAAATACTATAGGGCCAAGACTTTATAGCCTGAAACTCCACAAGATAGAATGTCCTTTTCATAGGTGGACAAACTGAAGATGTGGACACCAAAATAAGAAGACAAGTTTTTCCTGGAATTTTCATTAGTCAACAATTTTTAAAGTACTATTTTGGCCTATATTTTGTTGCTTCCCCAAAATTAGGCAAGGCAAAATCCACAGTTAAAGCTAACCTGCAGGTTTTTAAGCTTACCTCCCATGTACCACTACTCTTACACTCTCAAAGCCCTCCTTTAAAATATCCCATTTAGAAGGTCAGGAGGCAAGGGCAGGTGGAAAATTATAGGTAACCATGAGGCTGCTGCCAAGGCCAGAGAAACTGGTGACTGTTTACAGCAAAACTGTGCAGCATGGATTTTTAGTGTCTCTAAATTTTCCCCTTCTACTTTTTTACTCACCATTCAAGCTGAACACGCTACTAAACTAGAAAAAGCGGGTTCAAGCTCCTATGTGGAGTGCTAGAGAGGAGATATGGGCAGCATTATTTCCTAACCCAATTACTAACACACTGACAGATGTACAAGGAGACACCTGCAACTCTAATTTTGGCCCATGACTCAAGATATAAAGAAGGGAGAAATCAGAATGTAAACTTGATCTGCCTCTTTTTCTAATCTCACATTTTGCTGACCTCCTCTATGCCCCGCACCTCTCTAGCTAGCAGAGACTCCTCAGCACTTCCTGAAGACCTCTAGCAGTGTTGTTTGCTGCACTTGCTCTGAAGGTCTGTTCTTCAAATATTGCTTCTTCTCACTTTTCCTGGCAAACTTATTGAGGCAGATCAAGGTCAAACAGCTCCCCTAAAAGCTTTTGGGACTATCCTAGAGTAGACTTGCTTCTTCCCGACCCTTGCTTACTTGGGAGTTTAGATGAATTCATGACAGTCTCTCCAATACTGGGACTTGTGTTGGCCTTAGAAGCCACAGGCTCAGCAACTGTTATGGTTTGTGTCTGTGTGTCCCCCCAAAGCTTCATGTGGCCATGGGGCAGGCTTTTAAGAGTTTGATTGATTATGGGTGTGAGAGCTACACCCGCCTTGGGGTGGATAGTTTGCATATGTAAGGGAGAGGAAGAGGCTGTTTGGGGCCATTCCTCCCTTTTAGTGCTTGTTACTTTTGCTGTGTTCTGCCACCATGAGCTTAGCCCTCTGCCATGTGCCACTCTGCCTTGTAACCTGCCAAGTATGGACTAAAACCTCCACAAACTGTAAGCGAAATAAACCTTTCCTTCCTTAATTTTGGGCGTCAAGTATTTTGTCCCAGCAATGAGAGAAAAGTAACCAAGACAGCAACTTATGGACTCAGAATGGTTAAACTAAATATGTATATTAAACTAAAAATTTAAACTTGATTTTTCACT